ATAGGTTATGTTAAACTTTAAGTTTAGATTTGGAAGGGACCTTTCAGGTTAACTAGTCTTCCCAAAATGACCTCTAAAGTTCAAAAGGAAAAACTGAATAAAGACATTTTGATGAAAGAAACTGTAGAAGCAATAAAGAAAAAAAAGGGGGGGGGATATCAGATGGTCACCCAGCAGAATACTATTTTAAAAATCATGAGGAATTAGCAGAACCCCTTCAATTACTGGGTTTCCATGGCTGAACAGGGATTGAAACCCTGGTCTACAGAGTTATAGTCCAATGCTAAAACAACTCTGCAATGTTGGCTCACAGCTAGCTAAAATCTGGAATGGATTCACTGCCCTAGTGGCATGGGAGCTGCAACTGGCCTGCTATTTCTTTAGCCAGGTCCTCCACTGGAATGTCCCCTCACCCCAGAACGTAAGCAAAATTCAGTTTTGCCTTTTGGCTATACGATTCCCCATTCTTATTTTAAACTGTTCTTACATGCAGCTTGATCATATATTTTCCTGTTTTCTCCTTCTCTCTCATTGGCTTCCAGGATTAACCTTCAGCGTCTGTACCGTGGGGCAGTCTTAGATGTTTTCTATCATTCTCGCAAACTCCAGGCTTCCCAGCAAGCTCTAGTGTGCTGGATGTGTTTTGCTGGATTCCAGACAGCATTTTCCTGCTTGGGTAAAGATATAGGGCATTTAATAACTCCTTTGTGGGGCCTAGGTGAGTGGGTGGTTAGGTGATGTTTGTGCCACAGAGAACAAGTAAACGCATAGCCAATATCATCAAGAAGACAGAGTATAACTTTATAATCATGAGGTTACACAACATTTGTGCAATAGTGACTTGCAATGTTGCCTGCTCAATGGACATTGCAACGTACCATGCAAGTGTGCATGCTCAGTGTGCATTGGGCTACCATGTGTAATGCAATGCACCTTCCTCTGCAATTTTGAAAAAGAACTTCTTTTGGTGTAATGAGTAAGAAATTCTTACTCATTGCACCAGTAAAGTAACTTTGCTCTCACTTGTTATGTTGCTCATGAAGATAACTGTTACATCCTTGTTAAAAAGAAGATCTGGAATGGGAAAGGCAGCCATGAAAGAACTGGACAATATCCTAATGTGTAAAGATACAGAACAGAGCACTAAATTTAGAATCATCCAAGTCATTGTATTCTCCATCACCATGTATGGATGCAAAAGCTGGACAGTGAAGAAAGAGGATAAGAAGAAAATAAACTCATTTAATAATAATAAATAAATAATAAAATTTATTTATATTCCTCCCCTCTGCAACCCAATCGGGGCGGCTTACAACATTAAAACCACAATGAGATTTGGTGCTGGAGAAGAGTACTGAGGATAAAGTAGATGGCCAAAAAGACAAACAAATGAATCCCTAATTAGAACAAACTTGAAACCTCTCTGGAAGCCAAGATGATCAAACTGATGCTGTCGTACTTTGGCCACATCATGAGAAGGCATGAATTATTAGAAAAGACAATAATGTTAGGAAAGGTAGAAGTCAGCAGAAAGATAAGAACTACATGCCAGAAAGTTACAGGGCTGAGTTTTCAGAGGCAGTTGAGGACTGGGGGTCTTGGAGATGCCTTATACACAAGGTCACCATGAGTTGTAGTTGACTTAAGGTCAGTTAACAACCAGAACAATAAACATTCTTGTTATTCCAAAAAGTAAATAGCTGGGTGTAACAACATTACTTGTAATGTGTTATTTCCAAGTTCTGAGATATGCTTCTAACCTTCATGTTAACTGTATATTTCTGTCCCAGGTCTTCTCATCCAGCACATTGTCTTCTTTGTCTGCACCATGGGCTTCACTTTTCTGGTGGTCATCCCCCTGCAATCTGGCAGCAATGTGCACCTCTTTAAAATTGTGGAGAATATGTGGTAAGAGTGCTTTGGGGTCAGACATACTATCTGGAGCTTATATCGAGGCAAGTTAGACTTTGATGAACTATCAAGAGGAAAAGAATAATATCCCAGACTGAAACCTCCCATGAATAAAGGGTGATGGCTGAAATCCATTTGGATTTTGAGCAAGGATCTCATGAGTGTCCATCTCTGACTAACACAGAGGCCGATAGAGTCTGGGGCTCCAGATTTTGTTGGACTGCAACTCCGCTTTGGAAAGCTTTATTAGAATTTGCAATAAAGCCCAGGGTGGACTCACTCCATCTCTGACATGGAAGCTGCTAGCCAACTGAGTTCAATAGCATCTGGAACACTGGCCCACCAATTGCCCTTCCTTGGGCTAACATGATATTAGAACACAGAGTTTCTCCTTGTAAGGCATTTGTTTGAGATTGTTGCACACAAGGCTAGGCAACCAGGTGGCCTTCTTTCTATAAACCCATCATTTTCTGGCTGTCTGGCCAGAAGGATGATGGTATTTGTAGTCCTAGATATCTAGAATAGGGCTGGGAATCATGCTGGCCATCCAGATGTTCTTAGATTGCAGCTCCTAGAATCCCTTACTATTGCCTTTGCTGGTCAAGGCTGCTGGGAGTTTTAGTCCAACAACAGATGGCTAGCTGCATGATTCCCACCCTGATCGAGAAGGCACTGTGTTCTCTGCTTTTGGTTAACTCTTTCCTACCAAATACCCATTTGTTTGGGTGTTTTCAGAGCCACTGCCCATACTTGATAGGAATTCTGGAAGTTGCCACCCCCAAAGACCACTTTTCCAGGGTCTACATACATTTTACAGTCTGCACTAATTGTAGAATACAATTGCCTTGAGCGAAACTGGATGCCTTTTTTCTTTTCTTCTTCTTTAGGCCCTTCTGGTTGACCTTGGTGGTTGCTGTGATTGTGCAGAACCTTTTGACTCACTACTACTTTCTCGAGCGTGACCATCTACCAAAGGAGCTGAACAACAGGTAACCATCTTTTTGGGTACAGGTGACATCCACACCACTGTGGTGGCTGGCGGCTTCATGCCAATGGGACAGTGAACTCCTTTAAAGTTCAAACTAAACACCAGAGCAGATTCACCATCCTTCTAGTATGGAGGCCACCATCTGCCATTGCCACATTGTCACCTGAGCTGGCTTTGTTTGTCAACCCTGCAAGAGCCATTCCTTGTGCTCAAGAAATAGCAGCCACCTTCTACGAAAACAAAGGCTTCCAAAATGGCTTTGCCAGGAATCCTTGCTAAAGCTGTTGGGTCATCCACGGGGCACTGTTTTGGGTGGATGGACATGCAATTCTCCTCACGCATAAATGAAAACACTGATTATTGTCAACATAACAAATGGGTGGACTTGAGATATTTTTTTACTAGAAATCTGAGGTCCAACAAACAGAGCCAGGTGCAAAATGGTGGAGGCAAATGAGGTGCAACATGACAGTTCATGGAAGGAGCCACTTGGTTGCTCCACTTCATACTGGGAAGACTGGCACAGGGAAGTACAAACTGGTATTTATTTACTTATTTATTATCCCACCTTTTCCCAGCATGGGGTTCAAGGCAGCTTACAATGTTTTAAAAACACAATACAACTAACAAAACAAACAAACAAAAACCTCTCTTAGTACAAAAGTTGGGTTTTGAAATATTTATATATACATGATGAGATATCTTGGAGATGGGGCCCAAATCTAAACATGACATTTGTGTATGTTTCGTATACATCTTTATACACATAGCCTGAAGGTAATATTTTTAAAAATAATTTTGTGCATGAAACAAAGTATCTCAGCCACTCAGATGGACAACTTTGGGTTTTGGAATTCTAGAGAAGGAAGACTCAAGCTGTATAACAAATACATGGTTCTCTTTGTCCTCTTACAACAACCCTGCAAGTAGGTTAGACTGAGAAAACTGAGCCCAGAACCCAGTGAAATTCATGGCTCAATGGGGGCTAGCAGTTGGATCTTCCAAGACTAATTCCACACTCTGACTGCTATATCACAATGGCCCTTGATAATCAATCAGTCAATCAATCAATCAATCAATCAATCAATCAGTTTTGGCCATCCCACTCTTGTCCCCCATGCAGACGTGCTTTGTATATTGTGACATACCTGCTCTTCCCAATCAATGTACTTGTGGGACTCTTGGCTGGAGTTTGGAGATTGGTCGTATCTGCACTTTACAATGTTGTCCACTTCTGTCGCCTGGATGTGAGTCTTCTGGGCCATGGCGTTGAGGTCTTTGATCCAGGTGAGTGACATGCATGCCTACCAATCCCTTTCCACCACCGCACCCCTGTCTCCTTCCTTCTCTTTCTTTTGTATTGTATGCTCTGTCTTACTATGTGCATACCTACTTTAAGTAACCAGGGAAGAAACCATAGCTTGCTTGCAAAATGATATATATTGTGCAACAGATCTCAGATTTGGATGGATAGAATACAATAGTTTATTGTTGTTGTGTGCCTTCAAGTCATTTCTGACATATGGAGACCCCAAGGTAAAATTATTATTATTATTATTATTATTATTATTATTATTATTA